CCTGCCGGCAAGCGTAGTTCAGCCAGACGGAGTCTATTCGAGCTATCACGGTCCTCAGATCGCGTCAACCTTTTCTCAGCGTTCAGGAATGGAACCAAGAAGCACTGCCATAAAATCAGTCCTCTCAGATCAAAAAGAACCAGCCGTGGTGTCAGTCACTGACTCGATCGCTGCAACAGAGGCATCCAGTATGCGATCTGTCACACAGAACGTGACAGAGGAGGATAAAACAATCAAATCAGAAGTTTATAGTTCACAGAAGTCTACGTTTACTAATAAACTAGAAGAGCAGGGTTCATCTCCAAAAATATCTGTTACAAAATCGAAGGATAGTTCTTACGGACACAAATCACTTTCATCCGTTTTAGCTAAGAATCAAACGGAAAATCAAATTTCAGTAGGCCAAGAAGAGAAAGTAGGTCAAGCTAATCGGAAATTTGCCGGTGGAGGGTACGGGGGGCCGGCTCATTCAAGTGTTCCGCATGAACAGGCGTTTGGAGGCATGCCTCCCTCTATGCCGTACACTTATGGATATGAAGCAAAATTTGGTTCCATCGGAAACACTGGCTCCGGTAATTTTTGAAACTGTTTATAATATAATAGATTTCATTATACGTAATGTAGAACATGCTGTATTCGTGGATACACTTTCCCCCAGGCATAAAGAATCGGCACAGGGAGAGCGAAAGTTTGCCTCTGTTTCCAAAGCGCTTTGTAAATGCAGCAATGCGCAGTTGAATAAATGTCCATCCGGACCCATGGGAGCTCCAGGTCTTCCAGGTCTACCCGGTGAAGACGGATTGCCAGGACTGTCCGGCAAACCAGGTCGAGATGCCGACGATGTTCAAGCTTATCATGTGACCTTGCCCTGCCAGATATGCGGTTACGGACCTCGCGGGGAGATTGGTCATCAAGGAGAAGGCGGTAAGAACCTGTTTATTACACTGCGCTAATTGGCATGCACATTTGAAATAGCACTTAATACAGTCATAAATGTTATGATTTGAAAATTAATTATACGGGTCAGACAGAGGTAAGAAAAATTGAAAGGATATAAATTGATTATTCTCTCTTAGTTGCATCAGTCTAGCTTCCTGCATATTTCATGACTAATTGACTATGACAAAAATACAGCATTCCATGACAGAAAAGTTATGTATGATGGCAAGCATTCCATTCAACTATTAAGGCCGCTCCTACTGCTGTTATCATACAAAACAAGTCAGCCAGACAAAGACAAATAGACTAGACAGACGTCCTCCTGTATTTGAGTTGAATCGGCGTAGAAGAAAAGTGCTCTGACTACAAATCGGGTGGCAGGAACCACTACCGCAATTTGTATTGATAATCAAGTAGCAAGTGACAAAGTGCGTAACTTCTACCCCGTTAGAAGTTTATTTTCTGGATGAAAATTTTATAATATAGATACAATAGGAAAAATTTTGATCACCCCATTTGTTTCGACTGACCGGACGACATAATGGAAAATGTAAATTTAAAGAGAGCCACTGTTGAACGAGCTTTTCAAACCCTGAGGATCGATCAGCAAACTGATGATTAAGTTCAGAAACAGGATTGACAAAGCAGATGTAGCACAAGCGTAGTGGCAAGAAAATAATAAATTAATTTGAGATCCTTCGTCTCATATTTCTGGTAATGGAATCAACCAATTATATCTGATCGAAAAGTTGCTCTTATAATGACCAGCACTTTGTAATATTCACGTTTTGAAATGAGACCGTTCGTATCCTGCTTAAGCAACTCAGTTAATATCAGTGATTAATAAAAATCATTAATATTATCTATTCAAATTGGTGTCTGTATGAATATAGAAGGTTCAAGATTGACTTTATTCTAATATTTTTCCATACCTGGATTATCCACGTGTTGAAGAATGATGTTTCCATTTTTTCCAGTTATTCTTCATTAACTTTCCTCTGACTCTTCAGTCCTTCCTGTCAAGTAACATTCTACATCGTTCAAAGGGCATATGGTGCGCAGAAAAAATTGCAAATTCCTTCTTCAGTAATCAGTGCAGATTATGATTATCAAAATCCTTCTGCTTTGCCTATTAGTCAGTGTCCTTCATTTAGGCAGGAGATTTAGAGAGGATTTTACCAACGTCAACTTCTGGAGCCTCATTATCTAACTGCACTATTAACGTGGTAAGCCTGTACGACAAACGTACAGCAAAAGGTGTATACATCGTACTGTAGTTTGTTTTGTCATGCCATCCTGTCCTTTTGCGTGTCAATTCAATGCGACCGAAGCCGTGGATCAATTATGGAAGCTTGATCGATTTGTGTCTTTCTGCTTTCGCAGAAAATTCTATAGCTAATTTCGACAGCAGATGAGAATGCAGTTAGGTCATTGTAAGGCTAAATTGGTAATACTGTAATCATTGTGCTTCGTTGGAAATTAACTTTACTAATGTACATAGAATTTTTTTCCTGACAGACGATAATGCAGATATGCTTGCAACTTTAGGGTCACAAGGTATACGTGGGGCACCGGGTCGACCCGGTACTCCAGGAATCAACGGTCAGCCTGGGACTACTGGTGAACGGGGACCCCCGGGAACCATGGGACCTCGGGGCAAGCCAGGAATCAAAGGTGCTCCCGGAAGGAATGCTATTTATTTTAAGCCTCAGAAAGGAGTTCCAGGAGCAAAGGGATTGCCTGGTGTCGAGGGAGATCAAGGACTACCTGGTAGGGACGGACTTCCGGGAGAAGTTGGCGACATGGGATTGGTTGGAAAAATAGGAATTCCGGGTAAGCAAGGGGAGAGAGGAATGACGGGACCACCTGGAGGGCGAGGATTGCCTGGTCCAGATGGGCATTATTGTCCATGTCCGTCGAGATCACCTCGAACTCATGAAGAATCTACTGAACTTGCGAGAGAAATGCCAGCGCCTAAAGACCGCGAATCTATTGGGCCTGCGAAAGAAATTCCAGCTCGGCAAGGCTATGCTCTAAAATAGAATGATTTCTGTGACAGTAGTAAAAACAAATCATGTCGTCGCATGAAATGCTTATTTAATATCTGACTTTATATGATTAAATCTTGAAAAATCAGAATTTGCTAGTTTGGAAGTCTCATGCTCGTTAATTACTGTAGCATAAAGTGAAACAGCTTGAGAAAATTAGAAACTATAGAAAAATTATCTAGTATATTCGCTATTTTTCTTTTCGCACATTAGCTTTCGTCTCTGACGGTTTGCCTTCCAGTACGCTTCGCCGTCAGTTCAATTCATTGGGTCAATTGTTTGTTTTTCGTTGGCGCTTTTCTTTGATGTTCCAAGCTGAGCAGTATATAAAACTTGTGGTACCGCAGTGGCAAAGTCGGGTAGGTTCGAACTCCGGAAGTTGCGAGTTAACCAAATCGTTGAGAGTCTCTCCTAACCTTAAATTTCCATGAGCACGGATTCGTCCTAAGTTACATTGGTGCAACCAGCCAGGAAGCGGGAGATAAGTGGGTGACTTGCAAATAGTGGGTTAATTTGATCTTCTGGTTTAATCATGCCGAAATTGACGAGGCGTAGGATCATGCTGTTCAAGTCAAGTGCCTCTTGTGACTGGAATTCGCCTTGACCAACCTGAAGGCTGATTATCCAGCACAATATGCAAACTGATTTCTTTCTATTCTTTCCTTTTTCAGTGACAACTTTTTTAGTATAGAGGTCATGGAGGATCTATGAAACCTCGGCCGAGCGGCTTAGGAAGAAAATATCCTCCTTTAAAATATGACTTCTTCAGTGCCGTAGAGTCAGGCTACAGCCTCATCAGTTTGGATAACGCAGAAGTTTGCTCACCAGGTATGACAACTAGAAATACACTGAAGGAGTTGCCAGCGATCTACCTCAAAAGAACAGTAGAGGTTCCTTTCTTTCTTATTCAGGCAGTATCAGAGCGAGTAACGTGAACTGCATTGGTTAATTTGAAAAATTTGAGTAGACTTTGAGAAGATTAGGAAGAATCAGTCATCCTCAGGACGAAGTTTACTGTGTATAAAACTGGAATTATGAACATGGCATTCCATGGCCTCAGAGAGACAGCCCTGACAACAACCCGCTGAAAGAAACTAGAAGAAGCGAGATTGAAGATTCTTGATGGACGATCTGAATCAGATAAGATTATGTTGCTGAAATGGATTGGATATAATACCAAATTAACAGAAAGGCTACAGAACAGAGTATAGTCTGAAGGGGATACCACTGCCGGGGAACAGACTTATTTTCTAATTACGAGCTCATCATTAGAATCCGTTGCTTAAGCTGGAAAATCGATGAGAACAGCTTCTGACGTTTTGTAGGGATTCGGTAGTACAGTGCTCCATAGTTTGACCATTCACCCCACACTCGCATTTAAGCGAATCCCTGAATATTCCACTGTGAAGATGATACACGCATCTGTCATGCCCAGACTTTACGCGATTAATAATCGATCACAGCTTCGGCGGCATATCGAAAACAGCTTGAAGCTCGTGGTGGAATCCTGGATTAGTTGTTTACGTTACACAATATTAATCAGCCATTGTAGACGAGTAAATAGATGACGTAAAATTAAGGGAGAAAACCCTTGAAGGTCAGCATTAAGAGAAGAATTACTCAAGGCCGTTCTCTGACAAGATGACCGACAATCATCAGAGGGTATTTCAGTTAAAAATATTTTTGGTTGGAATGGCTGAACAACAGGATAACCCGGAATTTCTGCAGCTTCTTGCGTCGATCGACATTCCGTCGAGACGTCGGAATCGCGTGAACGCCGGATATGGCTGTCCATTATGAAGGAAAAACGACAGCGTTTACCTTTGAGCTGCTGTCAGACGAAACGCGTTTGACTGACTGATTCGTTTAAAGTTCGAAGTTTTGTACACGGACCCACGGAAGGAAGGAGCGACTATGACATGTGGTGCTTAAATGCCGGAAATGCTTAACATAACTTAAAACTTGAGCAAAATACAACTCCTCGTGATCCAGGTTTGACAGCATATTTCAACTGCCACATGGCTTCTAATTGCCTTGAGGGGGCGGCATATAAACAGAGCACGGTTCTGTACTATCGAAATGCCTGCGGTTTCAGAAGTCTCTCCATTTATTTTGTTCTTTAGAGCAACCATGCGCTCCTATATAAAATATGATGCTTATACGGTGACTAAAAATTCCATGGCCCGGATACATTGATTAACCAATTTACATAACCGAATTCTGCTGATGCGACAAGTCCATCGGTAATATTCGAAGGTAATGGATGCAATAGCTTTGAAGCAGGCATGAGTCAATTGACACTAATACGACTGCAGACAACTTTTCATCAAAGTCATTATTGCAAGGATACTTGAAAATCGCACCGTACTCTTGCCCTTAGTATTATGGTCAATCTGACCAAGCATATTTACGGTACTTGAGCATCAAAACACTAGTTCGAACATCATGTGAATTTCCAGAAAGTGGTTAGTAACTCGACAAACTGCATGATAATTGGCGTACGAATAAACACATCTTCGGCACCGAAACTTATCACGAGATTCTATGATGCTTTCTTTGGGAAATAATACTGACGATGAACGCCATCATTCTTTCCATTGGTCCAACTAAGGAAATGGATTAGATATAGCTAGGTTCTAAGGACGACGGCACAAGAAGTATCAAGGAAGACATAATCCAGAAATAAAACATTAAGTCATTAACACTGACTTTCCTCGATCATCCGCTGGACAAAAACCTCTCCACGACTGCGCTATATATGCAGTCGTCCTCTGTTTTCTGCCATCTTCATCCATCTTGATCCAGCGAACTTTCCCAGCTCATCCACCCGTTGATCCTGAAGGTATTCCAATGGATCATTTACCTTATACGACATATCTCTGGTCCAGCGAGGGTCGGTTTTTCTTGCAACATACCCTGCACATTGCCACTTTAACTTCTTCACTCAGGCAATGACATCGCAGGCTCTTGTACCTGCTCTTAAATATTCATTCGTCTTTCCTTCCGTTCTTGTTATTGAAGGTATATTTCTATAGAGACTATGCAACGCATTATGAAAAAATGCACATTCCGTAAAACATTAAATATAAATCTAATTTAAATAAATGATACTACAGGTTTTTGATTCTGGGCCTATAATTATATAGATAGGTGTTTGAGGGCACCTAGCACTGCAGATTGTACAACACTTTATTGCCGACGCGTTTGGTTGCATAGACCGTAGCATCATCAAGGCTAGGCTCACGTGAGCCTAATTTATAGACCTATAAAATATTTCAAATTGAAAGACAATACCGATTTTCTGGTAGCTCTACTGAAACTAATGTGTATGCGATGCATAAATAATGATGCAGACACGGTAACAAACTCAAAAATGAGATGTCTATTAGCACAGGAGGTTGAGACTCCCTAACATTGTGTTCCTCTATCAACTTAACAGTTGTTTATTATCATAATTTTCATTTTGACAGACTGACATCTTGTTAGCTTTCCGAAAGCTCCGTGAGTAACTAACCTCTTATATTTGACCATTCTAAAGTCCTAACTATACTGTATGGTGTCTATGGTGTGCGTATATGCTGCAGTACTGACGTAAGTATAGCATGCAGTGCTTTTCGATTGCCCTGCCTTCATTCA